AGTTCCAGCTACCTTCAATAGCAAGTCAAATTAAATCTAAACCAAAGAATTTTATTAAGTCGTGTCAGTTTGCTTGATGCTGGGAAATCCTTAAACCATGTAAAAGGAAGCATACAATTCACTGGTGGCATATGTCATTACATAGCTGTAGTGAGAAGTAGAAAAAAAAATCTCTGGGGAAGGATTTTAAGCCTTAAAATTAATGGAAAATATAAATAAACAGGCATTGTGACCTAAATATCTAAAATATATGTGTATTTTTAAAACATCACAATTACTTTAAACAGAACAAAATCCAACCAAATTTGAAATTTTTTGCAAATAAGGCGTGAAAAATTGTTAGTATCTTTGATATATCTATAGTATTCACAAAGTTCAATAAAAGAACCATAAATATTTCCTAGTATAAACACTGGTAAGGGATAAGGAGGAAGAGGATCCAAGGATAACCTTGGGATCCAAGGGTTAAGTAGAGACTTTGCTTAACCTCAGAAGGTAGAAAACTGAGAAATGTCATTCTTCAGCTTGTAAGACAGATGAGAGAAGTGGCACTCTCTTTGAAAGGCAGCTTTAGATTTTAGTGAAGCAACTGTCAAGCTCCAAATAATGAAGATATGGGTGCTTTGTAATCAACAAGATGTGATTACAAACAACCAAGTGGCAGATTTCAGTATGTTTGTCCCATAAAAGCAAACCCCAAGGTAATATAACCCATTGGTTTTGGATTAGGGTGGGGATTACTAATAAGGTTAAGTTTTCATTTATAAGGCTAAATTAAATTAGAAACAAGAGGCTGAAAAAATTGTCACTTAGGCTAATGATTGGGTATAATATGATGCACAAATTAGAAGTGATTATATTAGCCAGGGTTCTCCAGAGAATAAAACCAGTAAGATAGATAGATAGATAGATAGATAGATAGATAGATAATATAGCTATAAATAGGTAAACAAATACATACATTCATATATACATTTGGAAGATTTATTCTGAGGGGTTGGCAAATGAAATTATGGATAATTGGAAATTATGGGTAAGCCCCACTTTACTACTGTCTGCAAGCTGGAGACATAGGAAGCTAGGGTTGTAGTTACAGTGCAATCCTGAAGGCCTGGAAACCAGGGAAGCCAATAGTATAAACCCCAGTTTGAATCTGAAGGCCTGAGAACCAGAGGTGTCAATATCTGAGGGCAGAAAAAGATGCCCTCAAACAGAGGGCAAACAGAGAACACAAATTCACCCTTCCTACATCTATCGTTCTATTCAGGTCCTCAAAAGACTGGATGATGTCTGCCCTCCTGGTGGGAACATTCTTCTTTACTCAGTCTACAGGTTCAGATCCTAATTTCTTCTGGAAACATCATCATAGACACACCCATAAATAATGTTTTAACAGTTATTAGGGCATCCCTTAGCCCAGCCAAGCTGTTACATAAAATTAACCATCACAATAATATAGTATGTATGGTGTCAGGGAGATTTTTTAATTACTGAATAGGCCTAGTTCAGAAATTAGTCTCAGGGTCTCAATTTTAGCTTCAGTGAAATTCTACATCCTGTTACATCTTACTGATCCAAGCTGTTTGATAATAATCACTTGTCCCATCTTCCAGTAGATATGTAGGGTGCTGGTAACTTGAATATGACAACCACCTTCTGTGTCTTGACACTTAAAAAGCGTTTATAAACAATTTTATTTTCCTATTCTCTAAGTTGCTGAGTACTGTATTAAGTATTCCAGTATACAGTAATTTTAATACATTTATTGTTAGCTAATTTGCAAACACTTTTTTGTATTTATTTTTAATTTTTTTTACATTTCTTTATTTTTGAGAGACAGAGAGAAACAGAGCACGGGTGGGGGAGGGGCAGAGAGAGAAGGAGACACAAAATGAAGCAGGCTCCGAGCTGTCAGCACAGAGCCCCACGTGGGCCTTGAACCCACAAACCGTGAGATCATGACCTGAGCTGAAATCAGATGCTCAACCGACTGAGCCACCCAGGAGCCCCTAATTTGCAAACACTTTTAACTGAGTATCATCAAGTATAGTTCAATAGTCTTTTACCACTCTGTAATATTTTAGAATATTATAGTGTAAATTATTTGTATTTAGTTTCAGTTGTCTTTTAATTGTCCAAATATGTCTTAGGTAAGGGATTAAGCTTGAAATATATTCTTCATTTTCTTTCTCTGGAAGCTATGTTTAAATTTTAACAGAGCAGAGAGAAACTTGCTCCCAATAACGTTAGAAAAGTAATTTCACAGTATGACGCGTTGGTATTTTCAGAATTGATTTAGATTCTATAATTCAGTTACTAGGACCTTCAGTCTTGAATCAGTCCCTACTAGTGCTGCCTTTGACCATCATAGATTCCAGGTAGTCTGCCAAGTTTAATGTTTCATCATAAATCTCTATCTTGTTAATTCACATGGCTGACCTTGTTCTTTCTCAAAATATTATGGGCTATCCTCACCCCTCATGCTTAGCCTCGGACTTCAGCATGTTAGTTTTCATCTTTTAAAATGTTCCTACTCATCTAGATAAACAAAGATTTTAGGCTACTGTTTTAAATTCTTGCTGCAATTTATTACAGTTCCAAGCAATTCCTTGAATCATTCATGCTAAGGAGGTTTACTGTCAGACTGACAGCTGGATTTGTAATCTCAATAGAGGTAAACTATCAGAAATATGCCATTAGCTTCTCTTTCAATCCATTTTAAATGAAAGTACAGAAGGAAAGGGGGGATTTTAATTCACACACACACACACACACACACACACACACACACACACACACAATAAGCGAACTAGATCTTAAATGGTTTGTAATAGTTTTTGTTAACCACTGATTACCAAAATCCAATTGCAATCTTCTCAGTGATTATAAGGACCAAAATGTTCAAGAATTCTATTTGCTACAAATGCCACAGGGAAATGGTTACATGAATGAGCAGGAACATAAAGCAGCTGACAGCTATTTTGTGACTGAATTGACTATAATGTCAATCAAAATATTCTGCATCCAAGTAGAAAAACTAGTCTTAAGTGCCAGTAGGTATTTTAGGGTTGATTTATCTTGTATCGGTTTTCTACAGCCAGGAAATTCCATAAGTAGACGTTAATTCTTTTAGTTCAAGTAATATATTCTGGAGTCCCTATTTGATTGTTAATGCTATAATCAGTCATCACAACTTTAGATTAAATCTGTCAACTGGATAGTCACCAAGATGGATATGGAAAGTGGCCTAGTTGAATTTTGTGCAGATTTCACAGGGAGAAGGAAGAACTCTAGCATATGGGTAGGGTTTTCCCTGCGAGTACACACATGTTTGAGACCTGATTCTGATCAATGCAAAGATACAGGAGTCACTAAATATCTTGATGAAGCCTTTAATGTAATACTCTTCATTTTAACCCAACTTTACTCCCTTTGCATTCTAGTGTTCAGACTCAGTCTTTGAAGTGTTTTGGACTTTAGGACCATTCTTGACTCTACTATACTGACCCTAAATACTTTTCAATTATTTCAACCTGAAGTCAATACTGGTTGCTTTGAGTAAACCCATTGAATTAATCCACCTGCTGAGATCCAACACAATGACCAACCCAGTCAGGTCCAGTAGGAGCAAATCTCTTCTGACCTACAATCGTGGGTAATAATAGGCATGTTTCTATCTTTCATGTATATGAATTAAATATACAAGTAAATTAATTAAATTATATAAATGACCTAAATAAAGCATTATATATCCAGACATGATAAATGAAGCAAACTTATAAATAATATACAAGTTTCTTGAGTTAGAAAACATTTTTTTAATGTTTAATCATTTTTGAGAGACAGAGAGAGAGAGAGAGAGACAAAGAGAGAGAGATGTGGAGACGCACAGAGAGAGGGAGACACAGAATTGGAAGCAGGCTCCAGGCTCTGAGCTGTCAGCACAGAGCCCGACACGGGGCTTTAACCCACCCACTGTGAGATCATGACCTGAGCCAAAGTCAGACACTTAACCAATTGAGCCACCTAAGTGCCCCAGAAAACATTTTAAACAAACATTAATAAAAGTAAAACTTCCTATTTGTCTATCTTCATCTTTTCATAAAATAATCAAGGATGAACAACAAAATGACAATAAATTTTCTTTGGGTGGTGAGATTATAGTTGAATCTAAGATTTACTGTTTCTAGAAATCTTTGTTATTGTCCTAATTTTGTATTTTCCATAACTTCATTGATTACATTTATCTCCCCCCAACACACACATGCATAATCAAATGCTGTCAAATGAAAGGGTATGAATACACCTCAAGTAGAGGGGTATGCCATAAAGAGAAGAGATCTAAATAAAACTTTCTAGGGAAAATCTTAGAAGCGGAGGAGTAGTATAAAGCACTACAATACCCACAGTTCTCAGTGTTCCACACTTTAAATTATGTATCGATAGCCTGCATGCTCAGTGCAGTGGTCAACATTACAACTGAGAAGTAACCTGCACACATTACATTCTGCACATAATGTTGCTTAAGAAACCTTCAATCTCAGTGGCTTAAAATTATATCCTTTGTTTAGCTTATGAAGTTCAAGTAGACAATTTACCGAGGTTTGGCCAGGTAACTTTTCTGGTCATGTTTGGGGATCACTCATATGTCTGGTACTTAGCTGGGTATCATTTAGGAAAACAGAGGTAATTGGGCCACGCATTTATTTTCTTCCAGTAGCCTACTTTGGAAATAATCTTTTGTTAGAGATGAGAAAGTTCAAAATCAGCAAATGGACATGTGAAAGAGTTTCCACGTTTCTTACAGTATCATATTTACAATGATTCCCGTGAACAAAGGTAGTCACATGATTTAGTGCAAAGTCAGAGAAGCAGGACTCTGTACAGTTATCTGGCAAAGAGCGCCTATAATTGGGGCCATAAACATCAATCTAACATAGATTATCTATGTAGCAATGCAAATTTCTTAATCTTGGAACTGGCCTTATTAAAAGAAGCCAGACTTCAAAAACTTAGGGAAAATGTTAAAAATGCTATGCTGATTAAAGGGGGAAATGCAAATTTACTGGTGACACAAGTACTTAGAGATGTGTATGCACTGACAAAACCATACGGCGTTCTGTATAAAAAGAAAAACATTACAAGACCATGTGAGGATCAGACATCATTGGAATTATTTTAAAAGAAGTCAGATTGGTCTTTATTTATGTTTGGCTCCCATAATAAGAAGTGGCTGAATAATCTAGTAATAGGTCGTGTGTATGACTACCATGTGCTGGATATGATCGAATTAGGTACTGAGAAGTTTGTCTCTCTACAAGACATCAAGAATAGTAAATGTTCTGAGGGAACAAAACCCATGTTAATATTTGCTGGTGATGATTTTGATGTAACAGAAGACTACAGAAGGCTAAAAAATCTTCTTATTGATCTCTTCAGAGGCCCCACAGTATCAAATATCCGCCTGTCTGGTTTAGAGTATGTTCTGCATTTCACTGCACTGAATGCGAAGATTTACTTTCAAGGCTACAAGTTGCTGTTGAAGAAGTCTGGTTGTAAAACACCAAGGATTGAATTGGAAGAGATGGGGCCCTCATTGGATCTGGTTCTGAGGAGGACATATCTGGCATCAGATGATCTTTACAAATTATCTATGAAAATGCCAAAAGCCCTCAAGCCAAAGAAGAAGACAAATGTCTCCCATGACACTTTTGGCACAACTTATAGAAGGATTCATATGCAGAAGCAAGACCTAAGCAAACTACAAACCAGGAAAATGAAGGGGTTGAAGAAGCGACCTGCAGAAAAGATAACAGAAGACCAGGGGAAAAAAATCAAAGAGAATTGAAAACAATTGATGGAACTAGCTAAAACAAAAACAAAAACAAAAAATAAAAACCAAAAACAAACAAACAAACAAAAACCCTCTATTCCTCATACTAGCTCAGATATGCTAAGTCAGGTCTAAGTTACTAAAAAAGTGTAGTTAATGAGCCTCCAGTCTTATAAATTTGTGTCTCTTCTGCCCACCTTTGGTCCATGGGCACTCATTAAGTATCTCTAGAGGCTCTTATTTGTGACAGGTCATTGACTTCTCCACAATGATGTCTGAGAAAGACCCCATGAAGCTGGGTCACATGGGAAGTAAAGTCTTTAACACCATGTCCAGACACCCATCAACATGAATTAGGTCAATACTATTTGTCAATACTTAGCATAATAAAATGTTATTTACACTCTTTTGGCTATACACAAGTCTTCTGGAGTTACATATATGTGTTCATTCACAACAGTCAAGGTCTATCACTTTACACTCTACTTTGGGAAGAACCACAGTAGTGTTTGTTTTTCCAGAACAATCAGTTCTACACAGTTACCATAATTTCCATTTCTCAAGGCAAGGTCAATGTCCAATTTTATATGACTCTATTATCTTGATCTCTGTGATACAGTTAACCCATTCATTGAGGTCACGTAAATTATCTTCAGTAAATCTACTGAAGTCAAAGTAAGAAAAAAAATGAGCTGTTTATCAGCTGAGGTTTAAATAACAAAAGTCTTTTTCTTTTTCTCTTTGGTAAAAAAATAAGCATAAAATATTCTATTTATTTCATTGCTCGCCTAATTCTCATGGCTAGGATCTCATGCAAACATGAGGGGAAGTGTGGACATGCTGAAGCAATGCATTGATATCTTAAATTTTTGTAACTAATATTATGTATCTATCATCATATCCATATCTATGTATCTATATAGGATATATCTATCTATATAGAATCAATCAATCTATATTTATATATGAGTATACACATATAGCATATAGCTAGTACTTTCACATCTGACACACATAATTTTTTTCAAAATACATCACAGTTTTCTTCATGATGTTCTTTTTTACTCATTTCCTAAGGCATTTATGTTTTTGCACTAGTATGGTCCTGTTCACATGCTAGAAGAAACTACAAACATACTTTAATTTACATTTGCCTTTCTTTACTTTAAAATCACTTCCATCAAGACTATCAAGTTTACCTGGGTAAAATGGTCATTGTATTTGCCCATTCTCCTTGAGTGAGTGGCCACATGCTCTACCTGGCTAAGATCCTGAGGCTGGCTAAGATAATTCCACTTTAGATACTAATATGGCGTCAGCAAAAGTATGTATGTATCTACCACCACATATCTAAAGCAAACAGGTAATTTGAAGTGAGGTGGGTTTATGGTCTAAATTTCTAGCTTGACAGGCCACTGGTACATAGAGAAAAGGAAGCAATAGTCAAACTGTGAAGAAAAACAAACAAGGACACACACACACACACACACACACACACACACACACACACACACACGAAAATACCACAAAAATCTATGTGCTTTATGATCAAAAGACAAAGGATGGATATAGTTAAAGGGGTGAGAGAAGTTACTCAAGATGGGACATGCTATCAAAACAGCAGCAAAACAGATGGGCTGATTAAACACACACACACACAAATTACATCTGACTGCTCCACTAGAACACAGATTCAGACAAACTAAAGTGAACTAATTTAAATGTATAATTGATGTGCCAATTGAGAGGAGGAAATAGAATCATATAAATTGCTAAATTAAAAGTAGAGAATACAGAAAAAGAAAGGAAGACAAAAAAAAAGAAACAGAACAATTACAATGAATTAATGCTATAAGTTAACAGCAATGAAAACAACTACAAATATCGTAGAGTAGTTAGGATACCTCAGGCCAGCACCGTTCTTTGGCTTCTCCAATCTAAAATGTCCAAGACAATGCTGATTATCCAATGCAAGTTGAAATGTTTTAAAGAGGTATAGTTAGAATTTAAGTCTATAACCCATGAATCTGACATATAAGATGATAACCTCGCTCAGGTGAATCTCGAATGATCATCTTTATTCCTTTCATACTGGCCATTAGAACTTTTTGCGGGGAGGAGACAGGCATAAATGAGTAACAATTGTGGTTTGAGGTGAGTTATATAGTGGGAAGAAAAAAGCGAAGGTAAAAATTTCTTAACCTTCATTATTCAACATTGTATGAAAATAGGGCTGCTGATTACAAGGAAATCTGAAATTAACTGTATTCCTCTATTTATATGTTACAAAGATCTTGAAATTGATTTTTTGCAAGCCAATCTGTTTACTTTAATGAGATTCAAAGAATATTATCTCAGTAACAATTTTCTATTTTTAAAAGGTCACACTTAATTAGAAGTATGAAAATAGCTAATTGAAATAATATACTGATCACTTAAAGATATTAAATGTTAACACCTTATATACTATGCATGATTATATTTAAAAATGTGACCATGTAGAATATGAAGCCATTTAAAGTAAAAGGGGTAGGACAATACATCTACAAAATGATTATTATAAATTCTTATTATATAATATCTTCAATAAATAGAAGGAGACACAATTTTGTAGAGAGGGTACACACAAAAATAAAAACTTTTGTTCCTCAAAGTTATCATTAAAGAAATAAAAATGTAAGCTGCATGTTGGTGATATTCCTGATCATGAACTCTTTTCTAGAATGTATAAAATATAAACAACTCAAATAACTCAACTTAAGACATATAACTACAAATTGGAAAAATATTCTCAATAGGTATTTACAAAAGAATATATAGACAATATGAAAAGAAATTCAACATTATTACTCATTGGGGAAATTCAAATTAAATCAGAATAAGATAATGTTGCCTAACACCAAGAATGTCTAAAACTAAAAAGATAAAACTGAAAGTTTTGTCAAGTATGTGGAAAAATTGAAAATCTTATTTTCACATTTATGGTGGAAATATAAAGTGATACAATTATTTGGGGAAACATTTTCACAGGAATTGTCTAATGAAGTTAAACACAGTCCTACCCAACAACCTACCAATTCTACTACTAGGAATTTACCCAAAAGAAAACATGTGTTTATTTAAAAAAAAAAATAAATAAATAAAAGCCATGTCCAAAATGTACGTGCAGCATACATTCATTTTCTTTCACTGGAACAAACTGCCAAAAACTGATTATCTTAGAAAACCTTTCAATTATTATCTCATAGTTCTATAGATCAGAAGTATGAGTAGGCATGACTGAATTCTTTCCTTAGTGTTTCACAAGGTGGAAATCAAGGTCTTGGCTAGGTTACTTTACAAGTATCTGGTAAAAAGCATACTTCCAGTTTCATTCAGGTTATTGATAGGTTTGAGTTCTGTATAATATAAGACAGAAACACCCCCCACCCCAACACTCCAATTTTTTTTTGCTGGATGCTGTCTGGAAGTTTCCTTCAGCTCCTACAAGCTAGTCTTGGTTTTTGCCAATAGGTCTTTCCATTTTCAACTCCCAACAGTGTTGTCAAATCATTCTAGTAGTTTATTTTATATTTTTGAAATGTTTTTTTTATTTATCGAGAGAGAGAGAGAGAGAGAGAGAGAGAAAGAGAGAGAAACACACAAGCAAACAGCAGAGGGTCAGAGACAGAGAATCCCAACCATCTTCTCAGAGCCCGAAACAGAGCTCGAGCCCACAACCCAGAGATCATGAGTTTAGCAGAAATTAAGAGCCAGATGCTCAACCTACTGGGCCATTCAGATGCCCCAAAATCTTCTAGTACTTTAAATTTCTCTTACCCTTCTGCTATTAGAAGGAGAAATCTCTGCTTCAAAAGGATCATATGATTATGTTAGGCCCACCCAGATAAACGCCCTTTTGGTTAACTCAAGGGCAAACCGATTAGTAAACTTAATTACATCTGCAAAATTCCTTTTACCTTTCAATCTTATATAATCCTGGCTGTGATATTTCACATACTCATAATCCCTGGGATTAGGGTAGAAAAACTGGGGTTGGGGGCACTTGTAGAATCCTGTCTACTACAGTTTTATTCTTAATAGCCCAAAACTGGTAAACAAGACAAATGACCTGAAGCCAGTGTTTTAGGATTTTGTCACAGCAACAATTTTAAGTATTAAATTATGTTCCAGTTATTAATTACAGTTATCAGTACCAAACAAACCCAACATGTGGTGGCTTAAAACAACAGCAAACATTGACTTTGGCCATGAATCTGTTATTAGAAATATGGACAGGAGAACATAGGGCCACTTGGGCCATTTTAAGGTCTTAAATGTGATGATACAAATGGTTGAGTGTTGGCCAAGCATCTCTCCACACACCTTGTTCAAGTGTCTAGCTTAGATTTCCTTGGGTGTGGCACCCCCAAGAAGAGTAGGAATTCTTACACAGTGACTAACAGCTCCAAGAGTTAGTGGACCTAAATACCTGAAATAGAAGATGCCTAGAAATTGAAACAGCATCACTTCTACCATATTTTATTTTATTTTATTTTATTTTATTTTATTTTATTTTATTTATTTTTTTTATTTATATATGAAATTTATTGTCAAATTGGTTTCCATAAAACACCCAGTGCTCATTCCAAAAGGTGCCCTCCTCAATATACCATATTTTATTGATTATACAATCAGAGAAGTCCAGAATCAAGAGAAGCAGATACATATCCTACTGTCAATCAACAGGAAGAATATCAAAGAATTTTCAGAATTTTTTAGCTTGAAATATTTGATAGATCATATTTTAAGAAGCAAAAATTAAAGGACAAAAATTTAAATCTGCATAGGTGGTTAGCATCAAATACAAAGGTGTCAGATTAGTCAATGGCACAACCTATATGGAAATACCTAGAATGAAGGGATTATAGTTATAAAAAATCCACAGAAATCACCAACTCCAGGTCTTTTAATGCTATTAAATCACACACACACACACAAACACACTTACTGAGAAGGTGACCCTGGACATTAAA